TAGCAACAGGTTGTTCTGACTTGACCCATGTCAAGTCAGTCTGACACGAAATAGATGATGTTGTTACGGGGCGTGAGACTGCAGCGGAGTAAGAAATAGTTGAAGTAGTTGTGGTCTGATCTTTCAATAGTTTCTTTGCATCCAGGTAGGGTATGTTCCTTTCACATTTCAGTTTCATTATTTTAGATTCAATCTGCCATACAGGGCAAGATTTAGATGAAGCAACATGGGGGCCAGAACAGTTTGCACATTTCAAATCATCTTCGCAGTCAGTGCTCTCATGGTTGGCACCGCAACGATGACAAACAACCGAGTTTCGACAGGATTTGGAGCCATGACCAAAACGCTGACACTTGTAGCATCGGAGCGGATTGGGGACATACACATCCACTCCGATGTGGAAGTAACCTGCTTTAATTGACTGGGGAAGGGTTGTACGAGCAAACGTCATTAGATACGTGTTTGTATTGGTGATGACACCGTCCTTCTTGAAAGTAAAACGTTTAACTGCAGTAACAGCCTGGTCTTCCAACTCCGTAGCGATTGCTTCTTCAGACATGTCGGACAGACAACGAGCCCTGTCACGAACAATGCCTCGACAAGAATTTAATGTTCTGTGCACAGACACAGCAACCTCAAGATTGGCAAATGTAGATATAGATAAAAGATTGAGAGATTGCTGTCTCCGTGCACACTCCACAAGAAGCGAGGCACTCGTGAAGAGCAACCTCCTCGTGGTGAGTGCTGGGTAGCGCTAATAGCTCTTCCCCCGTGTGGAACCGGGGTAGAATATTTCCACAGCACCCCATTGCTGGTCGTAAGAGGCGACCAAAGTGGGCAGCCCGTTTGCCGTGGGTTGCGTCCCTGTGTCGGCGGAGGACGGGAGTCTGGTAGTTGAGGGCACTGGTTCCTGGAACTGTGTTCCTTTGCCCAACACACTACTTCGACCCTTACTTCGCCTAGACGGGTGGTAAGATGGGCCCGGTCTTATCAATCGGCTGGTCATGCCAGGCCCTGTGCGTAATATTGTATATGCACTCCTGTGTTGTATTATAATGTATATTTTGGACTTGGCCAAGCATACTTTGTATGAATTACCAATTTTTGATGGAATAAATTGCCTAGAGTCTTACGCCAGAAGGCGGTGGCTCATGGGCCAATCTGGTGATGTTGACCTCTGTATTCTGTATGTCTCCAGTTTCTTGTCATGGACTGAACCTTCCTGGCACTACATCTGGTAGATAAATATAGCTATTCAAGTCATATTTGCTGGAGTATAGCATCCCTGTATCCCTGGTGTTTGCATCCTGGATATCCGGTGCAATATAACACTGTCCTTGTTGACACTCGATGGCGGGTGGGGAACAGGGGTGCTGAATCATATTCTTTCACCATGGCTCAACAACAATCTGGTTCATCTCGCAATGAAAAAAAGAGACGATTAGAAGACATTGATATTTCGTCTGGAAGTATTTCTCAAAATATTGATACCTGGGCTAGGTTCCTGGTTATTGAGGCTGCTGATAACCTGCCTATCAAATTAAATCCTTTTGCCATTTCTAAGGCTGTGTCCGGTATTTGTGGTGAGGTCAAGAACGTCACCCGTCTCCGTAGTGGTTCGCTTCTGGTGGAGTGTGCACGGAGACAGCAATCTCTCAATCTGTTGTCTATATCTACATTTGCCAATATTGAGGTTGCTGTGTCTGTGCACAGAACTTTAAACTCTTGTCGAGGCATTGTTCGTGACAGGGCTCGTTGTCTGTCCGACATGTCTGAGGATGAAATTGCTACTGAATTGGAAGACCAAGCTGTAACCGCTGTAAAACGTTTCACGATTAAGAAAGACGGTGTCATCACGAACACCAATACCTATCTCATGACGTTTGCCCAAACTTCCCTTCCACAGTCAATAAAAGCAGGTTATATGAACATCGGAGTGGATGTGTATGTCCCCAATCCGCTCCGATGCTACAAGTGCCAACATTTCGGTCATGGTTCAAAATCCTGTCATAACTCTGTGGTATGTCATCGTTGTGGTGACAGCCATGAGAGCATTGACTGTAATCATGATCTGAAGTGTGCAAATTGTTCAGGCCCACATGTTGCTTCATCAAAATCTTGCCCTGTGTGGCAAATGGAATCCAAAATAATGAAAATCAAATGTGAAAAAAACATATCCTATCTGGATGCCAAAAAACTATTCAAAATTCAGACCACTACCCCCTCAACTATGTCCTACTCCGCTGCAGTCTCCCGCTCTGTTACAACATCTACTATTTCGTGTCAGACTGACTTGACATGGGTCACGTCAGATCAACCAGTTGATACTATTCCAATCACTCAGCCTATTCCTACCATCAGTGTATCCAGTTCAGGATCTCAGACTGAGATTCAGTCTGAGAAACCTTCACACACGTCAGTCAAACAACCAGTCGTTGTTCATTTGTCGACTAAAGAAAAAAAGAAATTGAAGAAAAAACAACTGCCAATCGTCCCTTCACCTTCAGAGGTTCCTTTACAGAACTCCTTTGGGCCTCTGGACATGGAGGTTACTCTGTCCTCACAGGACAGGCGGGGGAGTAGTTCCTCCTCACATTCACGCGAGCGATCTCCAATTGAGCCACCATGACTCAATTGTCTAATATAATGCAATGGAATTGCAGAGGACTTAGGCATAATTTTCATGAACTACAGTTATTAACAAGTGATTTAAATCCATCAGCAATTTGTTTACAAGAGACGTACCTTAAAAATACAGATAAGTTTGATTTAAAGCAATATAGTTCATATCATTCCTTCTCTCCTCCAGGAGATAAAGCTACTGGAGGTGCTTCTATTTTAGTGCGGCGGGGCGTTGTTCACAGTCCTGTTCCGCTTGACTCGACTCTGCAAGCAGTTGCAGTTAGACTAACACTGCATATTGCCTTCACACTTTGCTCCTTATACATTCCTCCTTCTTCAAATCTTCAGCGAAATGATCTACAAAAACTATACGACCAACTCCCAAAGCCCTGTGTCATCATGGGTGATCTAAATGGGCATAATCCTCTATGGGGAAGTTCAACCATTAATCAAAAGGGAAAAGTAATCGAGGATTTTGTTTCCGATAACGATCTTTGCATTTTTAATGATGACTCCGACACTTACTTGCACCCTGCTACTGGTACCTATTCATCTTTAGATCTGTCTTTGACGGATTCAGTTTTGTTGAATGAATTCTCATGGTCTGTCCATGATGACCTATGTGGGAGTGACCATTTCCCCACGGTGCTTAAACCAATTAATCCCGCTGATGATCCACCTTCACCTCGATGGAATTTTGTGAAGGCTGATTGGCTTTTATTTCAATCTTTATGCAAAGATAAATTACTACCTACGTCTTTTCAAAATGTTACTGACCCGATTCAGTTGTTCTCAGATCTACTGAGGCACTCGTGAAGAGCAACCTCCTCGTGGTGAGTGCTGGGTAACGCTAATAGCTCTTCCCCCGTGTGGAACCGGGGCAGAATAATTCCACAGCCTCCCATTGCTGGTCGTATGAGGCGACTAAAATGGGCAACCTGTTTGCCGTGGGTTGCGTCCCTGTGTCGGCGGAGGACGGGAGTCTGGTAGTTGAGGGCACTGGTTCCTGGAACTGTGTTCCTTTGCCCAACACACTACTTCGACCCTTACTTCGCCTAGACGGGTGGTAAGATGGGCCCGGTCTTATCAATCGGCTGGTCATGCCAGGCCCTGTGCGTAATATTGTATATGCACACGTGTGTTGTATTTTAATGTATATTTTGGCCTTGGCCGTCCATAACTTGTGTGTATTCTAACTTTTGGATTGAATACATTGCCTAGAGTCTTACGCCAGAAGGCGGTGGCTCATGGGCCAATCTGGTACTTTCGACCTCTGAGTTCTGTATGTCTTCAATTTCTTGTCATGGGCCGGACCAGCCTGGCATTTTATTTGTTAGACAAATGCAGCTATTCATGTTGTTTTTACTGGAGTATAACACCTCTGTATCCCTGATGTTTGCATGTTGGAGATCCGGTGCAGGAAAACATCGCTCTTTGTAGCACTCCATGGTGGGTGGGGAGCAGGGGTGCTGAATCAATTACTTTCATTATGGCACACAATCATTCTGGTTCAAACCGCACTGACAAGAAGAGACGTCTGGAAGCTGAGATTTTCTCATCTGACGACGATGCTTCTATTTCACGAACTTCAAATTCTTGGGCTCGGTTTATCGTAGTGGAATCACATAATCAACTACCTTTGAAAATCAATCCCTTTGCAATATCTAAAGCCATTGAAGGTATCTGTGGTGAGGTGAAGAATGTTTCACGGCTCCGGAGCGGCTCTCTTTTGGTGGAGTGTGCACGGAGACAGCAGGCTATTAATCTTTTAAAATGTACTAGCTTTGCTAACACAGAAGTTGTTGTTTCTGAACACAGAACGTTGAATTCGAGTCGAGGGATCATCCGCGACAGAGCTCGTTGCCTGGCTGAAATGTCAGAAGATGACATTTTGGAAGAACTTAAATCACAGAATGTCACATCAGTGAAACGTTTCAATAGAAAAGATGGTGAAAATTTCATTCCAACAAATACTTATTTGTTCTCCTTTTCTCTTTCAACAATTCCACAATCTATTAAGGCAGGCTATTTTAACATCGGAGTGGAGGTGTATGTCCCCAATCCACTCCGGTGTTACAAATGTCAGAAGTTTGGGCACGGCTCCAAATCATGTGATCGTCCGACTGTTTGCCACCGTTGTGGTGGAAATCATGATGGTTCAGGCTGTACAGCAGACCTGAAATGTACAAATTGTAAGGGTCAACATGTAGCGTCATCAAAATCCTGTCCTTTTTGGACACGTGAAAAAGACATTTTGACAATCAGATGTCAAAACAACGTCAGTTACTTTGATGCGAAAAAACTCTATGATAGCCGGACACCTTCATCCAAACAATCTTATGCTGCTGCTGCTGTCTCTCGCCCTTCAACCAGTAGATCTATAGAATGTCAGACGGACTTGACGTGGACACATTCTGAACACCCGCTGCCTCTGACAACATCATGTGACAGTCAAACAACTCATTCTGTCAGCCCAGGTGAAATGTCTTCAGATTCTATCATTGTGACTCAGGTTGTGGCCCCATCTACACCCACTCCTGATAAACCAGCTACCAACAAACCATCAACTGAAATGCCAAAAAAACAAAAGAAGAAACAAAACAAGAAAATTTCTACAAAGATCCCTACTCTCACTGAAACATCTGTAGATGTTCACAATTACTTTGAGCCTCTTGAGATGGATGTCACCCCATCTTCACACCACAGCAGTGGTGACTCCTCTTCACGTTTACGTGAACGATCTCCGGTAGAACCACCATGAATCATTCGAATCTAATTCAATGGAATTGCCGAGGACTTAGGCACAATTTTAACGAACTGCAATTATTATCAACGGATATTTGTCCATCAGCAATTTCTTTACAAGAAACGTACCTTAAAACAACCGACACATTTGATTTAAGGCAGTATAGTTCGTATCATTCCTTCTCTCCTCCGGGAGATAAAGCTACTGGAGGAGCTTCTATTTTGGTGCGGCGGGGCGTTGTTCACAGTCCTGTTCCGCTTGACACGAATATGCAAGCTGTTGCAGTTAGACTTACACTGCATATTGCCTTCACACTTTGCTCCTTATACATTCCTCCATCTTCAAATCTTCAGCGTAATGATCTCCAAAAACTGTACGACCAGCTCCCAAAGCCCTGTGTCATCATGGGTGATCTAAATGGACATAATCCTTTATGGGGAGGTTCTATCATTAATCAAAAGGGTAAAGTCATCGAGGATTTTGTTTCTGATAATGACCTCTGCATCTTTAACGATGACTCGGACACCTACTTACACCCTGCAACTGGTACGTATTCATCATTAGATCTGTCTTTGGACGGATTCAGTGTTGTTGAATGAATTCTCATGGACCGTCCATGATGACCTATGTGGGAGTGACCATTTCCCCACCGTGCTTAAACCCATTCATCCCGTTGATGATCCACCTTCACCTCGATGGAATTTTGTGAAGGCTGATTGGCTTTTATTTCAATCTTTATGCAAAGATAAATTACAACCTACGTCTTTTCAGAATGTTATTGACCCCATTCAGTTGTTCTCAGATCAACTGAATGAAATTGCTGATGAATCAATACCTAAGTCCTCGATCAACCCACGTGTTCGTAAACCGTGGTTTGATGACACTTGCAAACACGCTAGGAAATGTCGTAAGAAGGCGGAGAAATACTTCCGTAAACATCCCACTGTCCATAACTTGAACATCGTCAAAATTTCAAATGCTAAGGCGAGACGTCTTTTTAAACAAAATAAACGTCAATCCTGGCAGAATTATGTCTCAAAAATTAACTCTCGTACCCCCATGTCCAAGGTATGGAACATGATCAAAAAGATCAAAGGCAAGGGATCAAATTCTACAGTAAACCATCTAAAGGATGGCGATACTTTGCTAACGACTAAATCTGATATTGCCAATAGACTTGGGAAAACGTTATCTCAACATTCTTCTTCATCTAATTACGCTCCTGAATTTCAAAAGTATCAACTCCAACAGGAAAAGAAAAAAGTAAATTTTACATCTGATAATGGTGAAGATTACAATGAGGTATTTTCACTACATGAGCTCCATACTGCCTTAGGGCAAGCTCATGATACAGCAGCAGGCGCTGATAATATTCATTATCAGCTACTGAAACACTTGCCAGAATCATGCCTTGAAACTTTGTTGACTATATTTGATGACATTTGGACATCTGGGACGTTTCCACCTTCATGGCATAATGCCATTGTTATACCAATACCCAAACCTGGGCGGGATCATTCTGATCCATCAAATTACCGCCCTATCTCTTTAACTAGCTGTGTTTGTAAAACGATGGAACGCATCGTAAATAATCGATTAGTGTGGTACTTGGAAACAAATAATCTTCTTACCAATATACAATGTGGTTTCCGGAAGAACAGAAGTACTATCGATCATTTAGTGCGTTTAGAATCGTTCATTAAAAATTCCATTGTAAATAGACAACATGCTGTATCGATCTTTTTCGATTTAGAAAAAGCTTACGATACAACATGGAAACATGGTATTTTAAAAGATTTACATGACTTTGGTTTAAGAGGCCGTTTGCCTCATTTTATATCGCAATTTTTAACTGACAGACAATTTCAAGTTCGTGTTGGATCAACCCTGTCTGATCATTATAATCAGGATCAGGGTGTTCCACAGGGCAGTATTTTGTCTGTCACATTGTTCAGTATAAAAATAAATAGTTTATCAAAAGTATTAAATGACTCAATTGATGGGTCATTGTTTGTGGATGATTTCAATATATCATGTCGTGGTAAAAATATGCGTACTATTGAACGCCAATTACAGTTGTGTCTTAATAAAATTCATAAATGGTGTCTTGAGAATGGCTTTAAGTTCTCACAGAGGAAGACCAATTGTATACATTTCTGTCGGAAATATAAACCCCATAAAGACCCTGAACTCTTTTTAGATGGCACTCCAATCAAGATTGTAAAAGAAGCCAAATTTTTAGGATTAATTTTCGACCATCATTTAACCTTTTTGCCACATATTACTTATCTGAAGACCAAATGCCTGAAGGCCCTAGATTTGTTAAAAGTCGTTTCAAATTCAAAGTGGGGAGGGGATCAGAAAACCCTCCTTCACTTATATCGATCATTGATCCGTTCTAAATTGGACTATGGCTCCATTGTGTATGCTGGAGCTTGCAAGAGCAATTTAAAAAAGCTGGATTCAATTCACCATCAAGGACTACGTCTATGTCTTGGTGCTTTTCGAACTTCTCCGGTTGACAGCCTCTATGTGGAGGCTGATGAACCTTCTTTAAAACAACGCCGTACTAAATTGTCTCTTCAATATATTTCTAAATTACGTTCGAACCCCTCTAATCCTGCTTATACCTCTGTATTCTACCCCCTCTATGAAAATCTATTTCTGAAGAAACCGAAGCTGGTTCCTCCACTTGGGATTCGGCTCAAATCCAATATTACTGCTGCAAATCTTGATCTGGATCTTATCTCTCCTTCTCGGCTTTTGTCTACTCCTCCCTGGCAGTTGGTGAGGCCAGAAGTAGACATTTCACTGACACGCTTTCTCAAGTCTGAAACAAATCAACTGGTTTATCATCAGGAATATTTACAATTAAGAAACAAATATGACACTCACCGTTCAATCTTTACTGATGGATCCAAGGGTGGTGGCAAAGTAGCAAGTGCCACTGTCGTTGGATCACAAACCATATCATTTAGAATACCTGACAATAGCTCTATTTTCACTGCTGAGGCCAATGCTATCCTTACAGCTTTGATATATATTAAACACCAGTCTTCATGTAAACAGTTTATCATCTTTTCTGATTCTCTTTCTTGCCTTCAGGCACTGCATAATGTATCTTCCACTCATCCACTGATTTTAGATGTTTTAGAACTTTACAATGATCTTTCAACTGGCCAATACGACATCGTCTTTTGTTGGTTACCGAGTCATATGGGCATCACAGGTAACACAATGGCTGATGCTGCTGCTAAAGCAGCACTCAACGAATCTGTGACACCACTTCTGATTCCATACAGCGATTATAAACCTGTAATAAGAAACTACATCAGAGATATAATGCAGCAGAAGTGGGACACCCAAGTAGGTATTAATAAATTACATGCTATTAAACCAACCATCGGTTACACCTACTTGGGTTGTCAGTCCAGATTTGAAGAGGTCATTGTACGACGATGTCGTATTGGCCACTCGCGATACACACATGAATATTTGTTAAAAGGTGAAGATCCTCCGTTCTGTATCCCTTGTGATGAGAGAATCACGGTCAAGCATGTCCTGCTTGACTGTATTGATTTTTCCATCACAAGGGATAAGTATTTCAAAGTTTCATCGTTAAAGGATCTTTTTAATCAGATTAATTCTCATTTAATTCTTGGTTTTTTAAAAGAAATAGAATTGCTTGATAAATTTTGATATGTACATGTATTGTAAAAAGTATGTGATTTTAATTTGGTAGAATGACGTAATAACTGAGTTTGTTAGTGGCTGTACCTTCAAAGGGGGTTGAAGTAACGTAAAATAATTGTCCCCCTGAGAAGGTATGTAAGTCCCATTTCATTCAAAGTATTTTTCATTTTCCATGTTTTTAATCGTAGAATTCTTGTTGTTTTTAAATGTTTTGGCTTAAACTTGCCGACAATCACCAGTAGCCGGAGGGATGGTGTAAATCCTGCTGGGTTACCATGTAGGTAGCAGAAGTATCGTAAGTCCCCATGGTACCTAGTATGGTGACCTACCTTTGGCTATTGGTGATCTAAAGCCCATTTTTATTGTGTACTGTTTTGAATTGTTATGAATTTTATTCTGATATGCTAGTTTTACAATCTACATCTGTGATAGTCTAGTGTTTTTACTGTCCTTTGTCGACAGATTTTATTGTCACTATATATTAATATATAACTTGATTTAGTCACGTTATGGCTGAAATATTGCCCATGTGACTTAAAACTTAACTCACTCACTCACTCAGATCTACTGAATGAAATTGCTGATGAATCAATACCTAAGTCCTCTATCAACCCACGTGTTCTTAAACCGTGGTTTGATGACACTTGCAAACAAGCTAGGAAATGTCGTAAGAAGGCGGAGAAGTACTTCCGTAAACATCCCACTGTCCATAATTTAAATATTGTAAAAATTTCAAATGCCAAGGCAAGACGTCTATTTAAGCAAAATAAACGTCAATCCTGGCGGACCTATGTCTCCAAAATTAACTCTCGTACCCCTATGTCCAAGGTATGGAATATGATTAAAAAGATCAAAGGCAAGGGATCAAATTCTACAGTTAACCATCTGAAGGATGGCGATACTTTGTTAACTGATAAATCTGCCATTGCCAATAGCATTGGTGAAACTTTATCTCATCATTCTTCTTCATCTAATTACGCTCCTGAATTTCA